AATCAAGATTTTTAATCAAAATACTAAATTCTTTATCTTGCCCAGCTTGGACACCTTCGACGGTATCATAGATTTTCATCTATTAACGTGAGTGAACGGTAAAATAGATTGTAAAAACGGACTACTAAGTTATTACGGTGGACAGGAAAAGCTCTTTTACCACTATTGCCCGGATGTTAATAAATTAACAGAAATAAACGCGAACGACCTGGGCACTCCCGCACTATTGCAACGACACGCTAAAGTTTTCGCGGACCCCAACGAAGCTCTACCCTATAATACCAATATTATAGGAACAATAAGGACCACCGATGACATTCCAGTTTACTCAAGGAGCTACCCATACCCCATAGCTTCAGCCTAGTTTGTGAATAAGGAAATTTCGAATCTCTTGCGTGACGGTATAATAAGACCATCGCGCTCTCCTTACAATAATCCGACTTGGGTTGTAAGTAAAAAAGGCATCGATGAGGACGGTAATAGGAAATCCAGACTCGTGATAGACTTTAGGAAGGTGAACAACAAAACAGTTAGTGACAAGTATCCGACTCCAGACACTTCCGTTATTTTGGCTAATATTGGAAAAGCCAGGTTTTTCTCAACAGTGGACCTCAAGTCCGGCTTCCACCAAATTAAGCTAGCTGAAAGGGAGCAAGAAAAAACGGCATTGTAGGTCAATAACGGCAAATACGAGTTCTGTAGGCTCCCCTTTGGCCTAAAAAATGCGCCCAGCATTTTTCAGAGGGCCATTGATGACGTTTTAAGAGAAGAAATCGGTAAAATATGCCACGTATATGTAGATGATGTCATAATTTTTTTAGAAAACGCGGAGCAACATTTAAAGGACATAGACCAGGTCCTACACAAACTTTACGCCGCTAATATGCGAGTATCCGCCGACAAGTCGAAATTCTTTTAAAACAGTGTCGAGTTTCTGGGCTTTACAGTGTCTTAAAAGGGTATCAAGACATGCCCCGATAAAGTCAGGGACATTTTGGACTTCGCTGTCCCAAAATCCTTGAGAGCCTTACGATCATTCTTTGGTTTGGCTGGCTATTACAGACGATTCGTAAGAGACTATGCTGCGATTACAAAACCCCTAACAAAATACCTACGTGGAGAAAATGGGAATATCGGCGCTCGGAAAATAGAAATAACTTCAGACGAGGAAGCACTTAACGCGTTTGGTAAAGTTAAGAAAATTCTTGCATCAGAAGACGTACTGCTCCTTCACCCTGACTACATACAACCCTTTGACCTCACAACTGACGCCTCTTCACATGCCATAGGCGCCGTTTTGTCGCAAAACGGTAGACCTATCACCATGATCTCGAGAATTCTGTCCCCGACAGAAGAAATCTACGCGACCAACGAAAGAGAGCTCTTGGCGATCTTATGGGCCCTACAAAGAAGCGTAACTATTTGTACGGCGTAAAACACCTAAACATTTATACAGATCACCAGCCACTCACCTTCGCTTTTTCTGATAAAAACCCAAATGTAAAGTTGAAAAGATGGCACGCTTTTGTTGAGGAGTACTCCCTAAAGTTTCATTACAAACCAGGTAAAGAAAACTTTGTGGCTGATGCACTCTCTCGGCAACACATAAATGCATTGAATCACGAGAAGGACATAGAAAGTATGGCCACCAATAGCGAGTTATCACTTACCCAAAGAAATCCTTCATGTTGATATTTATTCAACAGACAAAACACATTTCCTGACAACAATAGATAAATTTTCTAAATTTGCAATAGTTTTTCCAATAAGATCCAGAGCCTTAGTAGATATTAGAGAACCAATCTATGAACTCCTCAACTTTTACAAAAACACTAAAGTTTTAGTTCGCGATAACGAGAGGTCACTGAATTCTGAAACTATTAAAGCAATCTTAAAAACCACTTCGGTGTCACGATCTACACTACACCACCGGCTCACAGTACTACTAACGGCCAGGTAGAAAGGTTTCACAGTACACTTACGGAAATCGTACGATGCCAGAGGCTCGAGACTTGCATTTCCGATACGACCGAATTAATTCTTCTAGCAACGGCTAAGTACAACCGCACAATTCATTCCGTGGACAACAAGAAGACCTATAGACACCATCCACGCAATACCGGACGAACTGGTTAACGAAATAAAAAACAGACTTCTATGTACCCAACAAAATGACTTAAAAAGGTGCAATATAAAAAGAAAAACAAAACAATATAAACCAGGTAAAAAAGTCTTTGTTAAAACCAATAAGAGAATAGGAAATAAATTCACTAAACTTTACATCGAAAAAATAGTCCAGAGCGATTTAGGTCCCTATGTTTTAATCGATGGACGTAAAGTTCACAAAATCAACTTAAAACACTGAATTTTCTCCTTTCTCCTTAGGGTAACTATGCTCTTGATAACGAACCAATGGGCTAACGCAAGGATTTTTAACTATACCCCCGATGGTGGCAGGAAAAGTAATTTTCCATGAACATTATGAGTTTTTACTCCACAAGACAAACTTGTCAGAATTCGAGGCAATAGCCGAAGAGATGGATACAATATTAGAGTAATTCCCACTTTCCCATGCCAGGCAACTCCTCCTAAACGACGCTGACCAAATATTAAAACTATTAGGCGCGGTCAGGATACATCATCGACATGCGCGAGGCATCAATATCTTAGGGACTGCGTTAAAGCACATAACCGGCACTCCGGACTTTGACGACTTTCAGACCATTGAGACCAGAGCCGAAGCCCTAATAGAAGCAAATGAACAACAAGCAACTATTAATCTAGCTACTCAGAGACAAATTAACGAAGTAACGGTGACAGTTAATAAACTTTTAAGCCAGGCAAAACAGACGCAGATCGACACGGGAAATCTCTTTTCTTTAGTCAGCACTAGAAATAGAGCGGTAATAATACAATTAGAAACCATCATTACATCAGTAGCTCTAGCAAATGTAAATTTTATCAACCCCATTCTGCTTAATGACGTGGAAATAAGTAATATATTAGCTGCTGAGCTCTCTACAGATACTGGTATAATTGATATACTTTCTGTTTCTAAATTTAAGATATTTCAAAATACACAGTTTATTTATTTCATTATTAAATACCCAAAAATAGCTAGTTTGTAATAATGTAAAGTTGCTGCTCGTTATCCAGGAAGGGAAGATTATTTCCTTAGAAACGAATCTTATGGCTGAATGCAACAGAGAATGCATCCCACTTTCAACGCTATGCAAATTGCAAATCCATATCCGCCGATCATGTGCCCGCCATTGAGGAGAGCGCTGTAATACAAAACGAAAATTTGACAAAACTGGCTAGAGGAACCTTTTTTAAAACATTCAAAGGTGATATTACACGCACGTTAACTTCACTGAACATATTGCAAAGAATTAATATAAATAGTCTCAGGCACATAGCTCATCTACGGAAGCTATGGGCATAACAATATTTCTGAGAAGACGACAAAAAATATGGTAGTCCTGATGAATATCATAAAAGAAACCGAGGACGCTTTCATTTCAAGAGGGGGAGTAGTTAACACATGTAACCAATCATCCGGCCAAAATATCACTTCCACGGAAACTGCTGACGGTGCGTCTACAACTTTGCATGTAACAACAATGAAAAACTCAATACTGCAATATTAACCAGCAGTAACGCATCCGGCCATATCACTGACCGAACACTTATAGTCTTGCGCGTGACAACAACAAACCAAAATTCGGAATTGGTTCACGCGGCTAATAACGTGCAGCAACTAAAGTTAGGACAAGTAGTGTAGATATTAAGACGCTAGCGTCGCCCTTGTGTAATTCAGTTATAACCATTCATCCGCTGAGACCGGCTGCCCTTGTCAATACAAGGGAAATAAAGAAAAAATAAAACTTAAAGTGATTGTTTTACTTGTTTTACTTACAGCTTGAATATACATCAAATCTTTTAAATAAATAGCTGGGTGAATGCATTTATTTACAGCTCTTGTTAGAATGGATGCTGTCTCTAATTTAATGTAAGCGACTGTGATGATAATATATTTCGAGAGGAATAGAATGAAAAGGAATGAATAATATATCACAGATTTTTATTCTCACTTTTCGCAGCTGAAGGTACTTTATATGCAATTAACTTACATATATATGTATAATGTCCATGATGCTGTTACTAGACTGTTGAAATGAATTAAGTGCACAATAACAGTAGAAAACTCAAAGTAAATCACTTTCTTTTAAAATAATCGCAAGCAATAACATAACCTGTGCTTATACATACATATACATATTTTAAATTCATTCAAAATGAAAGTAAAAAATTTGTTAGCACTGTCATTCGGAAGACTCGGGTTCAAATCCAGGTGTTGTACTAACATTCAAAGCGTTATAGAAAATTAATTTAAATAAGAAATCAAGCTAAATTTTCAAATTGCGGTCGCCCCTCGGCAGGGAATGTCAACCCCTCTCAGTGTATTTGACATGAAATAAAGTTCCTCATAAAAAATCATGTGCCGTCCAAATGCGCCTTAGTATAAACTTTAGGTCCCTCGCGAAACAACAAATTGGATATTGAAAAAGTGAGACCATAGAGCATCGAAACGAAAATAGGGGATAATCCGTTATAAGAATGATAATGCTTGTTCCATTCCTCAAATGTTTTAATCTTATTCATCTGCAATCTTTTGTAGACATAATTTTCAAATGGTGTACATGTTTTGAGAGTATATTGAATGTTCCCAGTGCATTCCCGAGTGCATTCGCGCAGCAGTTTAGTATAAAGGATGTTAAAGTATTAAAATGAAGCTTGTCCCATAATTTTTTACTATCTACACACATGTACATATCACACTTCTTGTTCACGTGCGTTCTAAAAATCCAATGAACCTTTAGCAAATAAAGGTGGAGCTTCAATTTATTCTTAACAAATGAACGAGGAAAGTTCAATGCTTTGTTATGAATGGTGCGCTAAAACTACTAGTATTAAAAATGTATTAAATTTGTACAAACCTCACTTAAATGAGTTATCAGCACAATTTGTATTGGTTAAACCACCAGCACCTTCAATAGAAATTGATAACACATTGGAAGTTTTCGGCTGTAATGCAAAAGATTTATCATCATAGTTCGATTTACGGCTATCTTCAAAATTAGTTTTTCTTTTAATGTTAACAAATCTAGAAACATGATTTTCCGGTCTTTTCGAATACGGTTCAAACGCATAGTCTACGCCAAATTGTGCAAAAGTGTCGCCCCGTTCTGTTTTGTTATATTTATTACTCTTGTTGACATTTAAAATCATCATCTTCTTCCCATTCAATTTAATTTCGACGAAACAAATCTGTCGATCCATCTAGCTGTTCGATAATATCGTCCATTGTGTCCCCTTCACTAAAATTTGAGTCTGCCAAGGCCGCCATAGTAACAACGGCTTCATTGGTACCGTTACTATTAGTTTGGGTCGCAAATCCGACTTGTGAACTCGTTCCGCCAGCTAGATTCTTAGAAGTTAAGGTAATCGCTCGTTGAATTACTTTTCCACCGCTATTACTTACTGCATTGGTGTTTAAAATATTTACGAATCCCTTTTTGTTAATTATGTTTGTATTCGCTGGTAGCATTACTAATTTGCTACCTGTGTTGCCAGCGATTCCGCTAGTAATAATTGTCTGATGTTGGGTATGCCCAGAGCTAGATCCAACAATTGTAACTGTTTTTCCTAGCCCACTCATGTTAGGAGTTGCAGCCATTTGTACGGTTACTGCTTTACCGCCCAACGTAATAGTTTTTTGTTGCATACATCCTGGCTGCACATTTATTTTTTGTTGAGGCTGTTGACTGGTAGCATTTTGCTGAGACAACTGCGTAACTGTCGAAGGCAATGTGAGCGTGATTGAGCGCCCTGCAGCGCTAGTGACTCCACGTACCATTTTAACACCACCTTGGGTCGAAAGAACATTTTTAGTTGCTGAAGCTGTAGTAGATGTGGAACCCACTATGGAAACAATATTACAAGCGCTAGCTTGAGTGACAATACCTGATGCGGGTATAGTTCGCAAGCCGGCTCCAGTTGTTACAATTATAATCTGTTGATTTGTTAACTGTTGTCCTTGTTTATTTGTTATAACAAATGCTGGTTTACCGCCAACATTCGAAGACACCTTTCCTACCTGCAGTATATTCGAATTTTTCATTATCAATTTCCCCCCACTAACTGTGTGCGGTGTCACCAATTTCACAAGATTACCAGAAACCAATGGCTTTTGCTGTCCACTGGATACAGATCCAGCTATTGTTGTGATACAACTAGCATTAGAAGAACCGCCTACAGCAGCGATGAATTGTTGCTGAGATTGAGCAGCTACGCTACTAGCAACCACTTGTGATGCTGTGACTATTTGAGTTTCCACTGATGGTTGCTGATTAACAACGGTTATAGCTCCTGTAGTTCCGGGATTTTTAGATATATTCAAATTAATTTTTGGCAATGTTTGCACAGCGACACCGCCCGTGTTAGTTTTTACTAACTGAAATTGCACGTTCGTACCTAAAGTTAACGGCTTTTGTAATATATACTGCTTACCGCCAATTGTAGTAGCAGTAGCGATTGTTGTCCCCGTATTTGCGACGGAACAACCTTGTATCTGCCCCGTTATTGCAGAGCCAGTATTTTGCGAAGTTTTTGCAATAGAAGTTGCATTAACTGTAGCTTGTGTTGTGGCTAAACGCAGACTTTGACATGAATTTCCAGAAACAATTCGTAGAGAATTGGTTTGAACTGTTGTAGTTACAGAAGCAGAAGACGCAGCATTTACAACCCGTAAATTGGTACGTCCTGAATTTACCTGCGTAGAAGATACAGTAGTCGCTGCACTATTGACTGGTGTTGTAATAGCTGCAGTTCGAGACACAATTGTATTCGGTCGAAATTTTTGGAGTATAGTAGTTATGTTACTGGTATTCATTATTGAAACAGCTGGTTGTTGCTGTGACACATTTACTATGGTTGCAGATATAAGACCACTGTTTCCAACATTAGGCGTGGCGCAGGAGTTCCCTATTGAAGGCGTTGAAGCGTTTAATGCCCGAGTTGTCACTATCGCATTATCCACAAGAGTAGGAGTTGATGCTGCAACTTTCGTACAGATTTGGCCAAGTTGTTGTTGAGGTTTAGAAGTTTGTTGTTGAGCTATGTAAATAGTCGTACCCTGCAAGTGAGTTTGCTGCTGTTGGACATGTTGTTGCGACTGCATCTGTTGTTGTATATTAGATTTGCTAGATGCCTTAGCAGTAGATTGCTGCAAACCAACTGAAGGAAAAGACGTGTTATGTATCTTCTGATGCTTAGTTGGTGGCAATAATGAGCTTGTTAACCCGTTTACAGGTGCTTGATTCGTAGAAACCGGTACTGTCGCAGTTGAGGCACTAGGAGCAATCGATGGTGTTACAACTCTGGCGGCAACTGCTGCTGGCTCAATTTTCTGTATTTGCAGCTCATATGAGGTAGCAAATGTAGTAACGGACCAACAGAGCTCTAGCGCATGGGTAGATGCACGTACCAAACCAACTTTGACTGCATATAGCGGTTTAGTTGCTTCCATGTACCAAAGATCTTTACAACAAACCTGAAATATATTGGTCATTATGAGAATAAAAAATTAAGTAAATTATTTGAAGTCCTAAATATTCGAGGCAGAGTCTTTTTTAATTTCTCAATTGCAACAATAGGCTCACCCTGACCTGGTTGTTCCACGCTTTACGATACCCGTCCCGGCCAGACCATACATATAAGCGGCTTTGGATGCCCACTGCACAATGGCCAGCTCTAGCTCTTGGTACGTCTTCATCTACGGAATCGACGGTTACGTTTTCCCATATCATTGAATCTAGATGAAGCCTATGCATGAGAAAATTGTTAGAAATTCAACGATTTAAAAATTACCTAAATCTAAAACAGCAAGCGTGTTTGTGCATTTCCATTCGCGTTCAGTTGTAGTTTTTGAATCGTTTATAAGCAAAGGCACCCATCCCCCAAAAACGTACATTTTATTACAGATCATTGTAGCACTATGCAGAGACCTTGGCAATGGTGCATGCCCACGTGTTCGAGGTTTAGACCAAATCATAGATTCTGTTGATGATAGAAGTATATGTTTAGCCTATGACAACAAAGGCACAAATAACAGCTCCTACCAACATCCAAAAGCCATAAATCACCCAAACGACAACCACTCATTCCACCATATATCAATAAATTTAGTTTATTTGTATTTTTGCTAGTGAAAGCTACGCCGGTATGCGACTCTCGTGGAGGTGGACTTTCACCATAAGTTTTAGGCATAATCCACTTGCCGTTATGACTGTGTACGCCACGACTTTCCAAAATGTATAAATCGTTTAAATATCTGATTTTAACAATATAAATTTTAATTCATTGGACAAGTTAAAATTAAGTATTCTATCTCACTTAGGAATGTTGTTTTTGGGGTCATCAGATTCGTTGGCAAGACCACCAAAGAGAAATATGCGATCACCGACCAAAGTGAAACTATGACCTAAGCGCGGACAGGGCGCTGGTCCACTATCTGGCAATTCGGGGTGCATTTTACGCCATTCCCATTTAGTTGCTTGAAGTTCATATAGTTCATTAGAATATTTACCATACTCAATCATACCACCGAAGACAAACATCCGTGTGCCGACAACAACAAACCCATATGCGGCGCAGCCAGGTGGTACTTCACCACGCATTGCGGGTACAAACCATTGATTAGTAACTAAAGCATTCAATGGATTAATTTTCGGAAGATGTTTAAATTAATATATTTTACATACCAGAGTTATAAACATGAAGTTCATCTACTATGCCTTCATTCCCACCTCCAAAAACGACCATCAACTCCTTTATATTGATGGCACGATGTCCGTGTCGTGGGCGTGGTTGTGGTCCAGATGGGTTACTCAAACGCTTCCAGCGAAATTTATCGGCATTATTATTGTTTATATTAATACCTAAATTACATTATTTTTTACATTGTTTGAAATTTTTGGACAGATTTGGATAGCTGACCTTATTTAACTGAGCTCTTTTTAATTCTATGTCTGAAGCATAAAAAGAAAACGTAAACAAAAGCTAGTATTCGAGCGGATTTCGACTTAAGATTTCAATTAAGTAAGGCCAACTAAAAGAACATTCACAAAACATATAAGGAGTTTCAAAATAAATGAGCGTTCGTATTGAATATCTTAGGCAGGGTCCATAAGCCAAGTAGAGAATGGTGTTAAAGGTTTTCTAATAAGAGGTGTTATTATGAAACTCAAAAAAACGTTTAAAATATCGATGCTTTCGGTGCTTGTGTGGCTCGTAACCCTGTATTGTTGAAGACATAAAATATCATGAATCATTTCTTGATTGCGCAATCCATCTATTTTTGAAAAAGTAAGGTAAAATGACCACGCCAGGCCAAAAAAACCGCACCAAAGAGTTACTCGTTGATAATGACGAGGCTTTTCAACATAGATCTTGGGTTTTCCGACTTCCAGACGCCTTATCAGTCAAAATGATTTTTCGATGGAATTTTTATAGTGAATTTTAATTATTTCATCTCCCAAAATAACAGACTATTCAAAATAACACTTCTTAGTGGAGAACTCTTTAATACGCTCACGTAACCAAGAAAGGAAGTGAGAACAAAGCTGGGTAGTTTTCTTCTGATGAAACAACAAACAAAAATTGTACAGGTAGTACAATTCGGCCAAAGAGATGAAGGGTTACCATAAAGGCTACGTAGGGATTCATGAAAGGAGGGAAATGTCCATGAAGGCATAAATTTCTTACTCTCATTAATGTAGCTCTCCACTTGAACATCCATGTCTCCGATGTTCGGACACGTTCTGCCAACACTTATATCTTGTTGTGCTGGTTCGTTCTCTACAACATTATCACTAGTGCTTATAAAGTCTGAAGATTCCATCTTTCAACTTGGAAGATTAAAAATGTTAGTACGATAAATTGTTGTTTCCGCTAATACCTGAAATTAAGAAATCATATAATTTAGAAAGATTACTTTTGAGGATATGCGACTGACTAAAGAACTAAACTGAATCGTCTTCATTAAAAGCATTCTAAAAACGTAAAAAACTAAAGAAGCCACGTATATTGGTAGTAAATAATAAGGAAAGCTGCGAAACATTAATGTCAAGGAAGTATGAAGAAGATTTAAAAATTATTTTGTTTTTCACTAATTTAGAAAAGTAAAACACAAACAGAAAATATCAAGCCATCATATAAAATTAAAGGCAGTTATAGTAAATATAAAGTCTAATCTTCTATAACTTTTAGGATGTTGGTCGTGCCAGAATTTGAGCCAGGGACTTCCGAATGGCATTACCCAATGTTAACCACTCGTCCACCGCGGCATTCAATTATAATTATATTTCATAAAATTATGCTTTAAGAGTTCCATTGTATGTTACATAAACAGAAAGCTAACTCCATATATTTAGGACGGGCACGGATGATAAACGTTCAATTCAATTTATTTTGCTTGGTATGTACTGTAATCATCATCAGTGATAAAAGATAAATCACAAACTAATAATTATGTATTAATTTTTAAAATTTTTTTCGAGTTTTATTCAAACAGCCAAGCAAAACTTATTAATTTTGAGAGAAAATATAATCATAATTTTTTAGCGTTAGGTAGGTATAAAAATGGAAGAATCAGAATTAAGTGTTGACACGAAGTAAAGGTAATGAATTAGCTATCGCACTTGCTTGAGAATTAGCATCATTCTCACGTAAGCGATCAATTCCCTTCTTCTTTGTTCCCGCCCACTGACTATCAAAAAATACCAAAGAAACAAAGAAAATAATATATGGGAGAAAAGGTCATTGACATTAGATTCAGATTCAAACAAATAAATTTATTTAATAAATAACAGCCAGAGAATGCTAACAGGACAACTTCCGGGATACTACAGACCACATGTACATCGTACCACATATATATTAATCTACATAAGATAATTGGGGTGTAGTAAAGCTTCTGGGTATGCTGTCCTACTCTTGCGTCTACGTCGCACACCCTGAAAACGTGCAAGCCATTCACCGGGAAAGTTCAGTCCCTTAATTAAGAAGTGGCATTCAACGGGATTATGAACTCGGAGGCGAGTAGGTCCTTCTGACATTTACTGCAAAAAATTGTAATATCTCTTATCAAACCGTAAGATTTGAACAACAGGCTTAAACATTTGTACTTACACAGTTTGAACTATGATTGTAAAATGGTTCGACAAACATCCAAAATTATAAAAGCACAATTTTTGCAATTGCTGTCGCTCCTCGGTATGGAATGCTAAGCCCTCCGACTGTATTTCGGGCATAAAAATTAAAGCACTTATACATCCATCATTCCTTCTTATTGTAGATTGTCGCCAATTGGAAATCACCAGTCCAGCCAAGGCTTTTTCCACCTGGCCTTTCAAGCAGAGTGCAACTTCTGCTTCAACGGGTAGGTAAAAAAAAGTGAAAGCTTCCAAAGCCTGAGTATTCTTATCAATCTGCACCTCATGACCTAGCCAGCGTTATAGCCTATTTGACCTGGACGTTAAATTCATTTTAGCTTAAATGCATTTAAACACCGAATTTAAATGCGTGAATTCCCATGTGTTTGTTGTTGTATAAAAGTGTGTTAACTCACTTTTACAGGCCTATTCTCACTGTTACCGGTAAAGTAAATTTTGTTACTTTCTCTAATACCCGCAATTGAATTTGGTATTCTGGCGAACTGGTTACAATGTTTGAAAAAAATTTGGCAGCACTGCTTTTTTCCTCCATGTCAAATTACATTTTCCAGTTGATAAAGTAAAATGAAAAATATTCACATCGAAATGGAAGACGGTGCACAAAAAAATTAAAAAGTTTTATTAATTTGTTTATTAAATCATAAATATTTGAACCTATTTATGGAAAATATGCATGGGCAACAAAAAAAAAGCTGTATGAAAACGATATCTTACAAATTAAAGGGCTCTTTTTTGTCTCGAAAACTTCTTAAAATACGGCTTTTTGCACTTTTTTCTTCATCTTCAATGAATTCCATGCCGAAAATATGCCTACCCATTTTGGTTTTTATTTTTTCTGAAACTAACAACACAAAAGCAAACAGCAGATATGTATGTTACCTCCTATTTCGCTGGTAACAAAATTTACAGGGTAACAGTGAGCTCAAAATACGAAATGGTAACAAAATTTACTGAATGGTAAATTTTAATACCTAGGTAAATTTCGTTACCTCGACAGAATAGGCCTGTTAAAAGTGAGTTGATTAACTTTCCGTAATTTAGCAGAAAAGGTTATGTAATAATTTCGGAAGTTTCGGCAGATTTTTTGCCAGAGTCGTGTATTTTCGGATTTAATGAGGGGTGAGACTTTTATTTTCTATGGTGAAATTTTGTCTGCAAAACCTATTTCTTTGCATTAGTTTTAACATAAACACATATATTAAGTAATACACAAAGATAATGCTTCTTCCTCTTTCAAAATACAATAAGAAAAAAACATAAAGCAATTGTGGAATTTCAATCGATTGAAAATGAGACAAATGTATCAATTTACGCAAGACTTTTCTCTCGATAACTCTAAACGGCGACTCATCAGTTGTTCTTGTAACCTTAAAAATATTCCCGAATGTAGTTTTCTGGGAAATGATGCGGGAGTAACAATCTTTGGCCGGGAAATATTCTGGGTCCTTTCGGTATAAAGACCCGACTGTCGTGGGAACTATTAATTTGCCTTACCGCGGACAAATTCTTGAACCAATCAATTCGCAGGGGGGCATCAAATATTGTCATCGCCCATGCCTGCGCACTATTCAAAAGGACGGGAACGATGAGTGATTTGTTGAGGTCGGTCTTCGTTCGTCGAGAGAGCGATTTCCAATTGCCTTACTTACCTACTTTACTGGCGTAGACACCGCTTACGCGATCATAGCCGAGTTAACAACATTACGCCATTCGCTATCGTCTCTCCAACGAAGTGGAGGTTTTCCTCTTCCTCTGCTTGCACCAGTACCCATCAAAAATTTTCAAAGCTGAAATATTCGTATCTATCCGTATCACATAACCTAGCTAGCTAGCTTCTCCTTGATTCTCTGAACTATGTCAATGTCGCCGTATAACACGGACAGCTCATTGTTCCATCATCTGCGTTGGATTTTAAGACTGACGTTATTATTGGTTGTGCTGGTTCATAAACAGACGAAATTATTTACGATTTCAAAGTTATATCATATATATAACAGTAACGTAGGAGCCGAGTCCCGAACGCGATGGCTGTTTTTGTGATGACAGGAGATATTTCGTCCCCCCCCCCCCTCATTCACCACCAGATTGCCGCTGGTTTTTTATTCTTTTAGGGCCGTTTTCACAACCTTAGATTAAGCACACATAAAATTCGTTTTCACAATATCCTGTTAAGACGCATCTGTCAACTAAGTTGCGGTTAACTTAACGCTAACCTTGAGTGGCGATTAGCTCTTAACCAAAAGATTATTTGGCAGCTGAAATTGTAAAATAATATATAAAATAGTATTCCGGTGTTGGCTTTAAAATAAATTTCATTATAGAAAATATGGAACGCACAGCCGATCTGGCTGCGTTGATTCAGAGGCGTATTTATAAAGAAAGAACGTGCCTTACAAAACTATTTTTTTTTTTTGAGAAATATGATGAAGCTTTTATTCGTAGGTTTCATTTCAAATTTAGTGCAAAATAGAAAGTAAATTAGATGCCCCACTATAAGGTTTGTGAAAATAATATGCTTTGAGTAAGTAAATATCGTTGATAATTTATTTGATTTTGCAGGAATAAATCGGTGGAAAGTTTGCTTTTAACATTACGAGATTACGCATTGGCGAGTGATTTAATTTGCGTTCCGGCGCTGGTCCAATCATTCCACAGAATACCGAAAAAAGCAGGGAAGTCAGCAACTATATGATGTGTCAACTTTTACCTCTCAATCTTCGCGGCGAACGTCTTTACAATGAATATCGAATCCGCACTCGAAATTGAATATCGAGGAGCTATGGATTGAAAGTTTCGCTCAGCACAACTATGAATATCATTGTTGCCTGTAGAGTGTTGCACAATTTTGCTATCTAGAAAGACTCTAATTTGGATGAGGTAGAAGTTCGAGCGAATGAACCAGCAGCAACCTCTGTTGATGCCGAGAGAAACATAGCTGAGATGCAACAAAACCATATACATATATTACATCCTTTTTATATGTTATAAGTAATTTAAAACCATGGCAAATAAAAATATATGAAATAAATTTCATAAAATTACAATTTTTTTCCATAACCAAAACTTTAAGAAATAAAAGAGAAAACTCAACCATACCGTGTGGAAAAATATAGGCAAATACCACCTGTCATGCAGTTTTGATGTATTCGCATCGCAAGTTTTTGTGAATTTACCTTAAAATATTCACAATGACAAAACTAACTAGAAGTTAAGTAATCAGGACTTGGTGAAAACGAAAATTTCAGATCCGTCTATCTGACGGTTAGCTATCCTCCGGTTAAAGTTAATCGGACATTGTGAAAATCGCTATTCTCATCCCACCATAGCCGGGTGTGGAACCTTTCTTTTATCATCATCCGTTTATCAGGTTCGCCGTTTCATGGTTTTGCAATTTCAGTGCCATTCAGAGGGCTGGAAAAGTGTTTCTTCCATAAATTCAATAAACTCTGGGCATTAGTTACTAGATCACCTCTTTGGGTCCTACAAGGGATTACCCTGGTCTCGCAACCTTCGGTAAGTCGTCGCCTCTTTTCAAACATTACCTTTGTCCGTCAGCTTCTTAAGCTTTTCTTGCTTATGCATCTCGGTCTCTGTTTTTGTTTACAGATGCGTCTTGCTCTCCCCTTTAAATCTCGGTATCCATCACAGCGTGTACATCTAGTTGTCTATCGAACGAGTAATGATCTATCGCAGCGTTGCGAGGACAGGCTAGTTAATCTAATTC